CCGAGAATACATTGACGGACCTGGTAGATATTTTATTATCTTCAAAGGCGCTTGAAGTCTCTTCATCTTCCAGCTCATTCGTTTTAATTGCTACTGACAGTAGGTTTAGTCTCTCCTACAGTGCCCCAAACAAGTAGCGCATTGTTCTGGGATTTGGGACGCTTTTGACTTTTACATACAGCGGCTAGAGGCAAAGAATAGGGACAGTTTTTGCGTCATTTGCATAGCTTCTCAGCGTCTCAGCATAGCTTAAGCCTTGGGCTTAAGCTATGCTGAGATGGTAGTCTCAGGTCACTAACTCTTAGAACTGAAAGGAATTTACTACGGAAGCTCATAAATTAAAATCAAGATGAAGAAAACAGAGGACTTGGATTAGAGACGGAGCACAATAAGAATAATTAGAACGAGAATGTTTGCGAATGTGTAGTCCTTTAGGTGGTAAAAAAATAATTGCTCTTTGTAACGGTATTTTCCAGAGAGGATAATTTTAGACCTCTGAAAACTTATGTTTTGGGGACTTCGGCGCTTTTCTCATTGGAGTACATGTTGTATTATCCCACAGAAAACCTTACCCCTCATTCACCTATATTTAACTGCTTTTTCACCTAATCTTTCCTCCGTGAGCAGTATCTTGAGAAGAGATAAGATTCAAAAAGTGAAATTCTGGTTAGCCCAGGGGAAAGTTCCCCCTCGGACCTTCGCGCTTGTCTTCGTTACCCTTGTGAGACGAGTTCATGCTATTCCCCATATCGCTCCGTAGCCGCCGTGGCTACAAGTCGGTCACACCCAATGTGAGTGGTTCGGCTGCTTCTCAAAAATGTTCTGTGTTGTGATGTAATTTGGTTCCTTTGACGTTAGGCTAAGCATATCTCAGTGTCTCTGAACTTTCGACTATTCAACTCGGAATATTATAATGTAAAAATACATGGAGAATTCTGAGACATGATCAGACCAACAAGTTGCGAGCATAGAAATACATTTTACCGACTGTTTCACTGTGATTTTCTCGTTAGGGTTATGCTTTTATTCTTATATCACAACACCCATATGGGTGTTGTGGTTAACATATCTTAATCATAATCTCAATGTTAATGTAACAACAATCATATCAGATGAGAATTACAGGCTTTATTTAAAAATTTTTATTCATAATATTATACATTTTTACTACTCCTTTCAGATACTATAATGCTTCATCTCCCGTCTTTGCTTCTGAAGAATAGCTCTTCACCTCAATTTCTACTCTACCAAAGCTCTCTTTCTCTCGTTCCTCACTAACGACTTTCCAAATTCCACCTCAAAGTTTTCCGGCGCCGATTCACAAGGGCACGCTTCAAGAACCCAATTAGGAAAGTGAAAGCAAATTTTTAAATTCAGGGTAGCAATGGAATCACTAGGGCAGATAGTCTATCGGCACGATGACCCCTTGCAAGTCGGTTAGGATAAAAGGTGAGGAAACCATGCTCTTGTTTGGTTAGAAAAATAATCGTCCTTGAGTTGAACGTGAGGATGAACCGCAGTTCTTGTTTCATTTAGTAGCCTTGGTCTTAAGCTATGCAGGGACGGTAGTCTGAGATTGCTATAGAGTCAATAAGTCAAAAATAAAGCTGGGCGTGGCCACTTGTACTAGCAAAGCAAGGAGACCTCCACTTACCATTCTCACTTTCAGAATTTTGTTTTCTTATTTTTAAGTTTCCCTATACGTTCAAAAAGTTTTACAATTGCAATAATTCCAGTGTAGGGAGTAGTTGAACGTTTTCTTAATACCCCGTTCTTTTATCACTCCTTTAATAATCTAATACATATAGACGATCGTGACTGACTGACTGACTGACGGTAATTCTAACCATGTTCTAGAAGGGTTAAAAATCTGAAACTTGGTACACATGTACCTTTTGGGATGCAGAGTTCAGAAAAAATCAGACTTTAGAGGTATATGCCCTGGGGGTTCAAATTTTGGGGGGAAACGTTTTTCTTAAATATATTTTGTGACAGATGAGGATGGCATTCAGAGAGTAAACTGGATGTTCTGTGTTCAGTGGTGTAGTAGAAGCATATCTGACTAGCGATCAGGAGATCTGGGTTCAATTCCCGGTCATACCTTGGCTTTCATTTGGCCTTTTTTGCCTTCCATGTCCCGGTACTCATTCCCCCTCCATAACATGATTTTTGCTTCAATAAAACGGAGAGACATGGAGAGCCTAAACCTGGCATGGAGGTGCCTACCGAGACGATGAGTTCAGGGAAAATGCAAAATTTTAGATCAATGACCTGGGGGATATTTTTTGGGGCCGACGTTTTCAAGTATTTTTTTTATTATCTTGGCGGATTGAGCTAGTGTGGAAAGATGAAACTTGATACATAACTGGCTATTGGGATGCTGCAGAAAACTTCAGACTTTAGAAGTAAATGTAAGGGGGGCAGAAATTTCAACTGGAGATTTTTTCAACTAATTTTTTTGCCTCAATTAAATTGATGAACATGGAAAGCTGAAACCTGGCATGAATGTGACTACTGAGACAAAGAGTTAAATAAAAATGTTTAGTCTTGATACATCCCCTGAGGGAATTTTTTCGAGGGGCGATGTTTTGAACAAAAATTGTTGTGGCGAATTGGACAGAAATGGGAAGGTGAAATTTGGCACACGTATAAGTGACATGATATTACTGAGCTGAGAGAGTATTCAGCTTTCATTGAGCTCCCCTCCTGGCATAGCTTTTGGGTGGGTAGGCTTTTCCAAGCATCTTTTTTCACCAGCGAAAAGGGCAAACGTATAATATTGAAATTTTGTGGGCATGTAGTTCACCAGGCAGACATAGAAAAGTTGCTGACGCACGCATCACTGACGTGATGCTGATTTAAGGAAAAATTAAATTTTTTTTATACGTCTCCTCAGAGCACAGCTTTTGGGTGGGTCGCTTTTCCAAATACATTTTTTCCGCCAGCAGAAAGGGGAAACGTATAAGGCTGAAACTGGTTGGCATGGAGTTCCCTGAGAATACATTTCAAAAGAAAAAAAATTTTCGTTAAAACCCATTAGGGCACTTTTTCCTGTCCCATTTTCCTGAATTTTTTTTAATCCAACGAAACAGAGACAGAAAATGTAAACTTCCCTCAGAAGTACCTGTTTCATGGCTGAGTAGAGGAAAAATCCTACTTTTGAAATATGTCTCCTTAGCGTAGATTATTGGAGAGAAGTATTTCAAAATGTATTCTCCATCCTTACAAAAAGGGACACAAGAAAAGATTTCAAGTGAGGCACACATAGAATCATAGAAGTAATGATTTCGATAAAAATCAAGACTTTCGTCGCCATATGTCATGTATTTCAATGGGGACGTGTTTGCCCTTTCGCAAAGAATAAATGAATTAATCCCTCTTGAAGGTAATGGAGCGCCGAAGGCGCGACCATAGCTTCCCCAGCTTTAGATGACTTCCTCCGAAGGGCAAAAAACTCGCTAGTATTAGATGCGCTTGGAATTCCGTGTGTATGTCCGCAAGTGCATTTGTGCATGTACGGCGCCTTCATGCCTGCCTCGGGGTGCACGTCTCCCTCTTTGGCTCGCACTTTTTTTGTCCGGCCATTGCGACAGTCGGATCTATTTTCGATAACGTAACAGCCCCGAGGGGGGGGGCTGTGGGGGGGAAGAGTTAGATGGCATAAGAGGACGGAAAAAAAAGCGATGGAACGAGCGATTATCGAATATAGAATCAACTGCTTGTCGGTTAAGCATGCTTCCGTTATACCGCTGAACCCAGGCAGTGAAATTGCTCCTCTCCGTGCCATCCCTAACACTACCACGGGAGAGAAAGGCATTCTACGCATGCCTCCGCCCCCCTACCCCCTCCGGGTGTTCACACCTCCAATACGGAATTTTTTGCTGGGACGTGTGGAAGTCCCCGCGTATCACACTTGGCGTCCCCTATTATACCTTGAGGAATGATTACTTTCTCGCAGGGGATGAGATCTCCGCCCATTTATTTCTCGCGATCCGGAAAAGTCGTATCGTAGGCACGAACACCGCCGTGAGTAGGAGGGGGATGGGGTGGGGGTGCACAAGACGTACAATGTCCAAGCGGTTCATAATCAGAGCGTTGAGAGAACACTGAAAATGATGGCTTATTCTGAAATCGCAAGGATCCCGCCGGTTGGGTCGTTTCCATCCCGTATCCATTTCCCTAATAGGATAGCACATACAGTAAAGTGATGGAGTTGGTCTTTACGTACGAAGCGAACAGGGTTGTAATCAAATGTCGACAAATGTAAGGGCGAAGATCTCACCGTGGCGAGGAAGTCACCTTCCCTTCAGCGGGATGAAAGGGGACTCCAAGAGTTGTACGTGGGGACACGTAAAGAATGGGAAAGGGGGGCTGCTATGAGAGGGCCTCTGAGTTTAAGGGCCGCCGAATGAATTCGGGATTTTTTTTTGCCGGAGAGTTCGTGAAAGTCTCCCATGGGTCGGTTAGTAAAAAATATTCCCTCACCTTGAAGTAGGAGTAGACGACCAGGAAGAAGTGTATTGCAATGGAGTAAGCAATCAGTACAATAACGATGAAGACGGCAATACTGCTCGGATCGATGGAACCGTCATAATCTTGGGCAGGGACCAACATGAAGACGGTTATATAGATTACAACTAATGGAAACAGGATAAGCCCAAGGAGATTGATGACCAGCCACGGACACATCAGTTCTCTCTTCATCTGAAACATTTGAGAATCATATCTCTGTTTGACAGGCCAACTTTTCGTGAATAATTGTATCCGCTTCACATAGGTCACTGAGTAACATATAATACAATGATGATAACATACAATGATGTGAAGTTGTGCATTTAGATATTTCAAACTTTTCAAGACTTTTTCAGTCTTCAGGAAATTTCACGAAGTTTCTTATTTTCACTATTACCGCTTGCACCGCGTTCCTTTCCATCCAGATGTTGATTGTCCCACGTCTTGTCCCCAACTTATGCCTCTAGTCCTTCCTTTCCAATCCTATCCTATCCAGATATGTTTGTGGGAACAGTTCGTCCTCGATCGAGTTCAGAGACACGGACAGTAACATTTTTTTGAGATAGGTTCGTGCTGTCTGATTGTCCCGTTACGCCCATGAGCTGTTCAATCCCAGCACAGCGTCCACGCGACACCTGTGCCATAATCTCAGAGAAAACCTGACAACTAACACAAGAGAAAAATGGGCACATATATCTTATTAATTTCAAGAACTTCCTCCTCGGAACTGTTGTTGTTGCGAATATCATGAAATACTCAATCATGTAATTTTTTGCGCGCATTTAGGAAAAACTTGCACAATGCGCTCTATGAGCAGTTGCACGAATCACGCTTGATGTATGCATCATGAGGGAAAAAAACAATAGCAGTTTTCCCATATTCTGTAATGATATGCAACATATTAAATTCATTGAATGTGGGTCCTATGTAAAGTGCGGCCTTGAAATGAAGTGTGACTTTCTGCGCACGTGAACATTATTGTTCCAAATGAGTAACAAGAGAAAGTTGGAAGGCTTGAAGTTGATTCATCTCATTAAACAAAGAGGATTTATTGAGATGGGGAAGATTTCCTTTAAAACTGGGTTGGCATCGAAAGGAAATCATGGGGACCCTTGTCTTCACGATGAATATAAAAATTGGAAGGGATAAAAAAAATCGCTATAATTAGTTGATGAAATTCGATTCCTCCTGACTGGAAAAAATTTATGAACAATTGTCTTGAGAGCTGGAGGGCAATCATTTGTAAAATGAAAAACGAGAAACAAGAATGCAAACTCTTTCACTAATAAATTTCAATGCCCTGTAATAGTTTATCCTATAGTTATTCTAGCCCTCAATCGTAGAAAGCTAATTCCTTCCTATTTTGAATTACTGCCAACTACAACCCATTCAGGCCCAGAAATGACCAATCTTAATCCACAAAGAAGAATCTTTCGCTAGTGCGTCATAATCAAGCCCTCAACACCTTCTTTTCTTCTCCTCAAAATATCACTCAAATATATTGCCTGAGGGTGAATTCAATGGCACTCTTCTCAGGCTAGGGGTGGGGATCATTACGAGGTACAAATGACTCAGTGATTCACTCTGATGCTGAACTGGTACAGGGTTCGACAGGTTAAAAAAAAGGCACTCCATTAAGGGTCCATGCGGTCTGGTCCATTCTAGGACTGCAGGAACTGCACGGACTAGGTATCAAATCGGACACCAGCATGCGGACCTTAATCGATTTGAATCTCCAGCGCCTTAAGACAGTATGAAAGAGGGTTTGACTGACAGTACTCTTTGAAAGTTTTCTTCGGAGAACGGTTCGTGAGAATTTCTAACGTCATACTGGCTACTGTCTGAATGTCTGAAACAAACCTTTTGGATTCCATAGATGAGGACAGAATTAAGTATCATCATCACGACCGCAGAGGAGAGCGTGGTGATCGAAATGTTGCGGAGCACTGAAAGACAAGAGTGAGACAGTTGAAACCTTTTGAGATGATTCATTCATGAAATGAAATGAAAAAATTCGTTAACCAAGTTGGAAACAAATGCTTCGAATTAGAGATAAAACTCACCACCTGGTGATATATCCTTAGAGTAGTCGGAGAATAGCGCTCCCTCATTGCCTGCACTCAATTCGTACACAGCATGGATGATGGAAGAGACATTTCCAAGCTATGAAAGGAAGCCTTATGTTACACCGCGATTTTTAACATCCTTTATTCAGGAAAGAACCTGGCTTTGAATGTAACATACGTATACAAGGTATTGTGAAAAAAGACTGATTTTGACCTAAATAAATCAGCTCACATTGGAGCTATTCTTGCTAGACTTTTATTATGAATGCATTAGAATGCTTTCAAATTGTATTCATCATTGCATATGAATATTTGGTGTTGAGGAAATACCATCAACAAATATTTTCTACAGAAGTTAGAGATCAAGAATTCTAACGTACTCCTGATCATAGCGGAGTGGATGAGAAGACTAGATCTTAGTCACTTCCAGTCATCAGGATCACATTGAATTCCTCTTCGATTTAACTTCATTCCTTCATCTTCGGACATATTGTAAAATGCTGGTTATAATTTTTCTTACTAAGAAATTGAGGAATCTAATCCGGTACCAGGTTAAATGAAACACTCCGCATTTCAGCCGATCCTATCAGGATATAGCTAAAGGATTCCTTAGATACAGGCACTAAGTGTCATGTTTTCTCTGCTATTAGCTTTAAACCTTGACCATCATTTTCTCCTTCATAAATTTGGGAAATCCTGACAGAACTTTGAAAATTTCCTAATTGATCATTATTGTCTCATCTGCTATTCGTTGGGAATAAGCTCAGGAAGATCTTCAAGTGAAGACTACCAGCCGAAAAATAAATTAAAATGAAGAGGAGTTCGACGTTTTCTTCATGACCATGGCAGTACACGAGTGTTTCTTCCTCTCCACAATACCCAGGAGCTACTTTATATTCCTAATAATTTACTAGACTGCCCGTTGCAGCGTTGCTTGCAAAATAATTTTTAACGATTTTTTTTTGGCAAAAAATAATTAATTTAATCTAATCAAGAATTTGGTTTCTTAGGAGACAGCGACGACAAAATTTCACAACAACACAGCGCAACATAAAAAATCGGAGGCTTTTTTTAAATGAACGACGACACCAATCGAGTTGCACCTGCCCGTATATGGCCTACCATATCCTTGCGGACTTCGGTTCAGGGGAGTATATGGACCATTTAGACTTCGGTACCAAGGGGCATACATTACAGCCACCATACCGACTCAAGTACTACAGCTTCTCCAGGCATTACTACTTCGAAGCTCGAACCTACATCACCCAATATTTTTCAGCTCCCCGGGCTCCCTACCCGTTTCCTATACTTCTTCAGTTTATTCATGTTATATGTAGAATAATTCGCAGAGTATTTTCTTCACATGTGAGACGATTCAAGTTATGAATATTTCAACTAATTAAGGATGAGATAGGAGAATCATGCCATAGTGTACCTGCAGAATCCCTTGTCCAAGCCAAATACTCGAGGAGTCGAACATTTGGAGTACAGAAAGGCAAGTGGTCCATCTAAAAATATCATTTCATCGACCTCCACACGGAAGAAATGAATATTCCAGTGACTGGAAATGTGGAAAGTAAGGAACGGTAGTATATTTTGATAGATCAGTTCATTTTTTATGTTATTAAAAAAAAACTCATTTTCTATTAAAGGAACAAGGTGCCATGAGCACAAATCTAACTACAATTTTTTTCGTATATATATTTCAGATAAACACCTATGACCTGTCAGCCCTTCATTTGTACTGTATTACATATATTTCTAAATCTGTGCTTACAGTACGAGACTAATAGGACGCCTTGTATTTTCTTTGTTTTAATTTCTATTTATTCGTTCGTATATTAAATTATGAATTATCTTACTTGACAGATTTAAGCTCAGAGACAACAATTGCATTTCCACAGCTTTACTTTTTGTTAATGAGTCACTCTAATTCAGATTATGCACATAAGTGGAGAGAAGAGAAATCATAGCACCTCATACCTTTGAAACCCTTTGACTGGCATATTTAAAATCGATGTAAACACTAGTTCAGCTTTTAGTAAATAGGTTATCCAATTCAGGAGACCTATTAAAGAAGAAAGCATGAGAAAGGGAGAGTTGTGACGTACCAGGCCCAAGACTGCAATGGTGAGGCTGCCATTCCTGAGGGTCATACTGTACACCCACAGCAACAGTGTTTCACAATACAAGTCCTCATTCTCCAGTAGCTTTACTTTGAGATCTATGGCACAAGAAGGTATTATAGATGTCAATGCCCCCAAGTTAAAGTAATTGTACATATGCATCGGATCAATGGATCTTTGCGTCCATAGTATAATCCTCGATGAATTTTCACCCATTTACACATTAATTTTAGTATGCTCATTGGACGTGACTGTTTCGAATAAGAGGGAATTTATATGAATAGAATGAATCTACACATTTCCCATTTTTATGAATACTATTTTCAGGAAAACAAGTTAAAATTTTTGCTATTCAGTTCATTTCACGTTACATTTTCTAAAATACTTGAAAATGTATACCTGATCATTTCCAATTTTAATGAAATTTGGTGTACAAGCTGCTTCTAACACTAATCGGGAAGTATAAAAATTTCATTCTTGAAGGATGTGTAGGTCAAATGCTACCGTGAGGTCACGATTTAAGAGCACCTGCTACGCTCCGATTTTTATATTCCTTTAACTGAAGGATTACTCAAGCTTTAGGTGATTAAGGTGTTCATTAGCTGGAAATTCCATAAGGAACTCCAAAATGGCGTGGAAATATTACATGAGTAAGTAACACGATGTTACTATTCGAAAAAGTGACATTTTAATTGGTGATGAAATTCCCTAAATAACAATCCCCCGAAAATTCGACGAAAAAGACTGTCTTTGCTGTCGATATGGGAAAAAGTGTAACCTCATGTTCCGTCAATAAATACTTGAATCAGCTGATTCCTGCCACCAACTGAGATAATCCAAATGAAGGGTTCAAATGGGAGCTACGCATGAAACACGAACTACCTATTAGGATTTTTTTAATGCATAATGAAGTCAGAGTTCATTATGTGTACACTTTTTATTACGGAAACAGACAAAGCCGAATAAATACGAGGTGCGATCCAAAAGAATACAGGGTGTGCCAAAAGAGAAGAAATTTAAAAAAAAGTAAGCCTAGGCGTAAGTCCGAGGGTTAGATATTTAACCCATGTTTTCCAGTGTCTCATCATTCCAAGTTGGTTTGCAAAATCAGGAGGTCGTCGAAAGTCAACTAGCAGGAGGACATTTATTGGAAGAGAAAGAGCCTTGGAAGGCACTAACTGTCCCATGCCCGTCTAAATTTCATACTTTTATTATAATACTTTTATTATTATACATTTATTATTATACTTTTATTATTATACTTTTAGTATTATACTTTTATTATTACTATTATAATAATATTTTATTATTACTATTTTATTATTTTATTAGGGGGGGGAGGGGGGGGTTGGACCGGGCCACAGCTTGTGCAGGGCTCATACCCAAGGTTCCTCCAATAGCGAAGAAAAGACTGCTGTTTCACCCACAACAATTTGGAATTCTTTCTGTACTCCCTGGAATGAAACATGGGAATACGGAGCAGCATTGTTTGCTCAATAGTGGAAACTCATAAAATGGTTGGCAACACGGTTAAAAATAACGTGTTTACACTTTTTTTTTGGGGGGGGGGGAATAAATCATTGATTTATTTCACCAACAAAAACCAAAAAAACGAAATGGAGCGAAAAGAACTATTATTAGTCTATGGTCTCGGATAAGAAAGAGCAAAATTCTAATCCAATGGAGTTGATCAACAGCCTCATTCCAGCTGGGTTTCCTCATCAATCCATCATCTCCACTCGAACCTAAAACCTAAAGGGCAAGCAAGGCCCCGACGATGCCTCTCGAGGTCAAAGAGCAACGAGGGCCACAGTTTCCAGGCCGTCTTGCTGACAAACCAAGGAGGGCCGCGGGGACAATATTCCAAAGAATCGGATTTTACCTTCCTGAGCCCGTAATTTCTTGCATGAAAAGTTGCATTTAGCCGTTTGGCACCTCCAAAACGCGGAGACGAAGCCTGGACCACGATTAAGCCGACGATGATGGAGCCTGGACCCGAAAATACCCCGTATACGCATTTTTGAAAGTCAGTTACTAAGATTCATGAAAATGTTTCGTGTTCCTCCGTAAAAATCAAGAAACAAATTTTCTATCCTTGCTGATCCATGGAGGAGTTGAAAACATTTTCCTTTAGACCAAATGCCATCCGGATTCTAAATATTTGCGGTAAAACCAGGAATTTGCGACATTGGAATTTCGCGCAATTTCCGCAGGGCTCCGCTAGTATATGCAGGGTGGTTCGCAATTGTCTCCCCAAAACTAAAAGCTCATTGCATAAGTATACATCCGATTTCAATGATATATGACTCAAACGATAGATAATTCAATATACTCGTATTTTTTATCGTGGAAAATTTCAGCATTCCATTTAAAAAAAAAATTTAAAAAGTTGCACCATAACAAATGAACGTACCCATATCGCGCCAGTAAATACCACAATACCTTCTAAAATTCGCAATTCAATTTTTTTTTTATGCAACGCGAGGGATCGTCAACGTCATGGGTGGCCTCAGTATCCTGCAGAAGAAGAATATTGCCATTTGGTTCGGAAATGTCTTCAGTCCGGGTCCTCAAACGCCTCAGTTCCTGCTGAGATCCCGAAGCCAATTCATGAGAGGTCTCTGAACCTGAAGAGACCCACCCACGCCAACAGGCCATCAGAGATGCCTCCCCCCACATCGGACCTCGAGACGATTGAAGGCATTCTGCTGAGAATTCAAAGAGAGACTGCACCGAGTCATTTTCGAACTTGTGGAAGTCGCATTGAATGGTTTGGGGGGCTTTCCTTTGGAAGGATGTCACTTTCTTGAGGTTTCTCATGGAATGCTGACATTTTTCTACAATGAAAATATATCGAATCGGCTATCGTTTGAGTCTGGCATCATTCAAATCAGACGCATACTTCCTTAAGCTTTCACTTTTGTGGAGGCAATTGTGGACCACCCTGTATTTAATGGCCCACCGATAATAACGAACTTGTCACCCTTGGAGCATTAACTGGATCACCAGATCGCAATAAATCTTTTCTCCAAAAACTCCATAATTTTGTGGTATGACTGTCGTATCGTAGAAGACAAAGGATATCTCTCTGATTTGAGCCATTTCATTGCGTTCACCGGGATCCGAATTTTTTTTTTGTCTCCCCGATGCCTTGAGCGCTTTGCTCTCGCATGCACATCTGTGGATTCGGGAAAAGTGTGAAAAAAGGCGATCGGCCTGGCACGCAGACACTGTTTCGATGGTAAAACTTGCCGAACCGGTGTGCAAATTTCACGCGGACGTAGGCGATGCTGCATCGCAAGATTTCGCGGGTTCGTGAAGGAAGACAAACGCGGTAAAGGAATGGAAACCGACCGATAGACTCCGCCTGAAGGCCCCGTTTAAACGAGGCGCGATCTCTCAAAGGTTCCGCGCAATTCACAAAGGTTGCGGAGAATTTTTTTTTCTTCCAAGATCGGAGTGTTGACCTTGAAGGATGCATTTATTAAAGCGGTCTTGCAGCTCTCGGACGGATTCAACTTTTTTTTTTCCGAAGTCCGTAAGTTCAGGAAGTTTGGGTCAATTTAGCCTCAATAACAACGAGAGGTAGCAGCCGCATCACGCACGAGAGATATCTCTTACCCCACGCTCGAAAGAAGTGCAAAATCCTGAAACGTGCCCCATCTCACGTCCGAGACGAACGATCCGCCTTAACATTTAATACCATACCGACATCCACGGTTGACCGAACGGATTTCCCCCCGCCCCCCCCGTCCCCCCTCCCCCCATCCCCCACCGGATCAGGGGATCGGCAGACGCCGGGAAGGCCTGCATCGCAGGAGAAGCCGATAGGGCACACTCGGCTTACATCCCGCGAAGAGACGTCTCGAACCCGACCGGTCCCACTTCGCCCTCGAATGAAATCCAGGAATCGCAAGAAATCCTCCTTCGCGCGAAAAGAAATCCGTTCGCGCCGTTTTCGACGCGCCGCTTCAGCTCGAATCCCCAAGAAGACAAGAAAAAAAAACGACAAAATTGCGGGAAATCTGCGAGTTTTGCAGAAATCTGCGCTCCGCTCACCGCCGTTAGGAATTCCTGCTTGCCCGAGGGAAAGAATTAAATCAAGAGTTTTAAAAGTACATAGTGCTTCAGTCAGGAAAAAATTGCTAAATGGAATCTTTTCCTTGGGACGTGAATAACGAGATGTCGTTCGAAACCGGCCCTCATGCTTTATCAAAACGTCGAAAACGTTTTTTTTAATGCGAAAATGGCGTGGTACATACTCTTCAACTTGAAATGAATAGGAATGTTCAATAGGAATAGGAATATTCAATGAAGATTCATTCCGAAAGGGGTGAAGTGTAATACAAGGGAAACATCACCTTGGAGAGCTAACACCATATGATATGTCAAATTTCAAACTTTTAAAAAATATTTTCAATTTTTTTTTTATGACCGATTTTCGAGTCACGCTAACCGACTGGCAACTTCAGGATTAAAAACTTAACGGACCTGGAATTTAAGGGTAATATACTTTTTGCTTCCGAAGTCGTTCAACCATGAGTCACGTTTGCTTCGTTTTGCAAATGATGCTAATAAATGCCGTCATAGCACCCAGCAGAGTTTTTCCGTGTTCCACCAACAAGAAAACCGGAGTTGGGAATGGTACGTGACGGCTGAGTGACGTGCCAAAAAAATTGGCAAAAAAGAAAAGTTGGCAAAAAAAAACGAAGAAACACGTTGTATCAGCGTGACCTGATCGGCGACGGAATGCCACACGAGGGAAGAAAACCGAAAGAAATTGGTAGATTAAATCTTCAAAATTTCATATAATCTCAGGGGGAAATGCCTCCCGGAAAAAAAAACAGGAGAAATTGAAACACGTTTCAACTGCGAAGAAAATCCAGGAAAAGAATATCTCATTCAAAACTATTTCGTGAAAGAACGCAGTCACCGTACGTCTTCCACAGCCAGGCAACTGTTGCCAGTCGCGAAAATCTTCAGACGATCTTCGATTCGACATTTGGACCAACCGCGCGGCCCATTCCTACTGTTGCCCGGTGCATTTGCTCACTCCGTCCATCCTATCAGCACGGCAGGTTTTCTGCGAGGAGGTTCAGCTCCGTGAGGTGGAGGTACAGATCCGTGAGGTGGAGGTTCAGCTCCGTGAGGTGGAGGTACAGCTCCGGAGGGTGGAGGTTCAGCTCCGTAAGATGGTCATTCCTAGGTCGACAGTTTGGCCCGGATAGAACCTTCGAGGGATGCAGTGAAGGATCCCAGGCATCCGTGGATTCCCCGTCCTGAGCCTTTGCTTTCGCTTTCTGCCTTATATACGTCGCCGATGAGTGTCCCTCAATGGATATTTTCCACGGTAAGGACAGGCATTCCAATAGAAGAAGATTTCATCCCCTGCCGTGCTGTAAAAAAGACAGAAAAAACACGTCGTAGCAAGTTTCGTCCCATGAGAAAGGACTTTCGCCCGGACGGAGGCGCGACGCTGGACGCCCTCCACGCGCTGCCCGAGCACGGACGCCCAGGCGTCGGTGAAGAAGTGAGGCCGATTCGGGAAAGCGTCGAGGAGGCGGAAGACGACGGTGCCCGCGAGGATGCAAGCGCCGAGCAGCACCCAAACCGTGACGGAAAATGTTTTGAGGACGGTCAGGGCTTTCGACTGCGNATTCCTATTGAACATTCCTATTCCAATTGAACATTGAATGTCGAGGGAAAGTGTGTTGACTCAGAAGTCCACTTCCCCGTCGAGGATCGTTTTCGTCTGTCCGGTCCAGGACCCGTTCACCAGAGTCCCGTACGTCCCGTCCAGGAGCTTTCGGGCCTTCGTCGTGGGTCCCGTCGGATTTCCCAGGGGGAACGACACACTCTGAGTCCTATGGGATTCGAGGCGTAATCAACCCGTTGAACGCTCATTAGGTCGCTCTAAGGAAAATCTCCCCATATGTATCCCATGCTCAAAATTTACATACTAACTCGTCATTCACATACGACGGAAAACGAAAATGATATTGAACCTCTGCTTGCTTTATTCTTGAATAAATACAAGCTGGCGATGCCAGGCGAATTCTGAAAAAAAA